TTTTTGCTGTCCTACTGCAGGAGGTGCAATTCTCTTCAAAAGCTGCCAGGGGGGCCAACTAGCTTTCTCACTTTGCCTTAAATTGGTGATTAGCTATCCTTGGCCTTTTATGTTCTTTCTCTGATGCCTGGTTGCACGCAACAAAGTCTATCTCAGTCCATTATTCTTATAATTATGACCTTCCCGCAACCTTTCAAAGATTTGAGACATTGTACCCATTAGTGCTTTTTCTTCCCATCTCTGTTCACCTCGAGTGAAACCTTAACAATTAGAGGAGTTGTTAAGTAGCTTAGGGAAAAGTAGCTAGACTCCTAAGATGGCCCCAAGTTCACCACATCCTACCCTTTCCTCTCCCCTGAATCCTGCCGATGCTTATGATAACTTTGATAAATGTAACACTCTGGAATAAGTGCTGCTGCCCTTTGCCTAGCCCTGAACTGATGCACTTTTTACATTCTTTCCTTTGGAACTCTTGTCCTTGGAATGTTCTCCTTTGGATCCCAGCTGCCATGCTGTGAAAAGCCCACATGTAGGCACATGGTTGCCAGTCCAGGTGATCTCATGGTTGAAGCCAGTATCAGCTTCCAACCACGTGAATTAGCCCAATTAGGCTCCTAGATGACTGTTAACCTCAGCCTCGTTGAAGCTGGAGAACTGCCCAACTGAGTCCACAGGATGATGAGCAATAATGAAATTATTATTTTAAGCCATCGTGCTTTGCAATTATTTGTTAGGCAACAATATATAATCAGAATATGTTGCCACGTATGCCATGAGCCGCCATACTTCATTCACAAACAATAATGGGATCTTCATTGTCAGGCAGCTGGCGAGTGATTTGGCTCCAAAATTCCATCCTTAAAAAATCTGCTTCCTTGGACCACTTAGCACTGACTATCTGAAATCGGGTCTCCTTAGAAACATTCTTTGAGATAGAGAAGATAGACATATGCATGCAGTTTATTGGGGAACAATCAGGAACAACAGGAAGTAAGGGAAGGACTGGGCAGAAAGTGAGGTGAAACTGTAATACATTTGTCTCCGTTAGATGGACTGGGCTGCAGGGTTTGTTCAGAACCGAGGCAAGGAGTCTGGGATGAGTTATTGGGTGCAAACAGCTCCCAGGGAGGGGGCTAATTTCGAGTGAGGCATTCTCGACCATGCACCACAGCATCCACTCTATAGCCATTTTAAATATTTTATAATGTTGTTTTCTTTTTTACCCCTCTACCTTTTGTCTATCAAACTTTCTTTGTCCTGTTGTCTCGTCCCACCTTGTTGTTTGAAAGCTATAAACACTTTCTGCTCTTATCATTTTTATCCTTATATTTTGAAAGTATGTTAACTGTATAACTTTCTATCAATGTCCATACTTAATCTGAGTACCTCTTCTTTGCCTGGAAGAAGTGGGAATGTAGTGTACTTTCATGTTGTCTGCCCCTAATCTTTCTCTTCTACTGTCTCACACATTTAGACTGATGTATTATACAAATTCACATGATCATACTAGGTATTAGTACTCTTTAAAACTTTAGTTTTTTTCTTCATCTAGCACTCTTCCTTCTATTCTGTTACTCACCTCCTTGCACACATTTGATTTAATTACAGTGTATCCTATAGTGATTTATTTGAGACAACAAATAAGTGACAAATTTTCTGAGCCCTTGAATATTTGGAAATGTCTGTTACTGCGCTTCACTTGGAAGGCTAGGTACCTTGGACACAGGTTCAAAATCAGTTTTCCCTCTGAACTTGGAAGCGATTGCTCCAGAATCGTGTTACTCATGAGAAGTGTAATGAAATTCTGACTTGTTTGTAGGTAAACTTGTTGCTCTTTTCAGAAACGCTAGTGTTCTTAAATAGCACCAAGATTTATCATACGTAGGCAGTTTTACCTTCATTTTTTCCAGAATTTCAAATAAATGGAGTCATACAATACGTACTCTTTTTAGCTCTGACTTCTTTCATTGAGCTTAATGTTTTTTTGAGACTCACCCAAATTTCCGTGTGTTAGTAGCTTATGCTTTTTTATTGCTGGAGAGTAAAGTACATGTTTTTTTCTTTTCTAGTTTTTTGTTGTTCAGTTCCAAGGTTATCTTAGTATTTGAGCACAGTCGACATGCAGGTATGTGGACTCCTCCTCTGCAGTCCCTCCTTTTTGGGTCCCCTCCTGTGTTTCTAGCCTCTCTGCTGGCCTTGAACTCTGCCCTCTGACATCTCAAGCTACTTAGAGCTGCAATGCCTGCAGAGCCCTCAGCGGAAAAGTCAAGTAAATAAATGCGCATTTTGTTCAGAAGAGTTCCTTTCTTTTATGAATTGTATCACTTGCAGTTTTCTGATTTGGCGATTCTTATGCAATTTAAATAATTGTGTTTATGTTTAGTCCCCCAATTATAATTGTTATATGCAGGGGGGTTGGTCACACCAGCTAGGGTCACGCCAGACTGTAGCCTCGTCCATTCGTGCTTATGTGAGACACAAAACAGCTCATTAGAAACTGGGGCCCTGAGCCTGTCCAATGGTGGGTTTCGCTGTGACCTGTTGACGAAAGTCAGGATGTGTTGTTGGGATGTGAAAGTTGTAATAGTGTCCATAGGTCCCCCTCCTTTTGAGTTGCTTGTTTTTCTCAGTGATTAACTCACTCACTAATTTCCTGTATGGCTACGGATATGAGAGGTAGAAGCACATTTTCCAACATTCTTGGGCTAATGAAAGTCTCGAAGACCTGGAGGTCTCGTGGTTTATTACACAGTTTCACGAAGGCCCCCATTTTCAATATGGTCTGAAGTACACCTCATGATCTAAGACAGCATTTTTTGTTTAACATTTCCAAAAACTAAATGTACTCCCTTTTCCATGAGATTGGAAAGTGTGGGGATTTTTTGTTGTTGTTGTTGTTTGCTGTGAGTGATAGAAGAAATGTAGGGGCCTTGGGGCTTCATATAAAAATGTTCAACCAGTGCCTTATTCTCTGCTCCACGTCAGGAGGATCCAGTACTATAATTCCTGAGCATTTCTGGTGCTCTGTGGTAAGCATTAGATTTCTTCTTGTTGTCTTTTTTCATTCTCCCAAGTCAGTTACCATTTGTCCATCTGTTCCTAGATTCTAAGATTTAGTTGCTATAACTTCTCTCTTTCTCCTTTGTCCCTTTTCTGGTCAGTTTAGATGATATTTCATAAGGAGTGAAGATACATTGTATGGACTTACTGTCCCACCTGTTTTAAAATAAAGTTTATTTTCATCTTATACTTTTAAGCTTAAAATAAAGACAAATTGCATTCACTAAGCCAAATACTCTGTTTTTAAACTTCAGTTAACAACACTTTTACAAAGCAGAGGTGTCAAATGACTAATCTAACGTTGAAAGTAAATAATAACTCTGTAGTCACCCCTGTACCAGGACGTGGTGCTTCTCTAACTATTGTCCCGTAAAACAGCAGGGGGGAAGGCTTACCTTACCGCTCATTGTGATATGCTTGCTATGGACTTAGGCTGTGAAAGAATTACTAGGAACAGACAAGTATCTACACGCAGTGCTGCCGCTTGGAGACCAACCTCAGCGAGGCGGGATACGATGGTCGGGCCACCGCACTGCGTGCCCCGCCTCCAGGGGTCGGCGAGAGCCACGGGTAATTCACTGCTTTATTAGCTTGCTCTGCTTATGAGCTTGGTTTTCCGACGTGAAGATTAGTCCACTCATTCTCTGAAAAGCAACTTGTTACGTGAGCATTTTTAGTCTTTCACCAAATTAGTATTTAACCGGACTTTATGAGTCTACCTATGCTTACTGTTTGTTAGGCCATTTGTAAAGTGAGCATGTGATCACCATCATTAAATTACCTGTGGGGAACTGTTCTTGTATTTCTTTTTATTTCCAGTTAACTAAGGATTACATTTTTACAACTACTTCGTTAAATTTTTTTGTTGGTAGTTCACCAGTATAGCATGAAAGCTCTGCGTGTAAGCAATAAATCAATAAATGAGAGACAAATATTAGGAATGAGAACAGACTCAGAAGAGTTTAACGCAGGTCGTAGGAAAGACAGGGGGGAAAAAAAAAGACCAAAAGTAACACCCGTGAAGTAAGATTAACTAAAGGGCCTAAGATTTTAGTTAGAAATGAGATGTGATGTAATAATTGTCTTTAAATACAAAGATTTATTGCAAAATATAATGGCTAATTGCTGTTCATCTGTCCTGAAATCTGAGAAGAAAAAGTTTAAGGGTAGAAATATGCATGATATATATTTAATCAATACTTGGAATAATAGCCTGAAGGTTGATGGACAGAAAGCTTGTGATGGGACACATCTCCTCGGAAGAGGATAAAGCTTTAAAATGTAGCTTCTCTGACTTGAATGACGAGAGGTCGCGCCGGGAGGTGCAGGGCTGGACCCGCCGGCTTCCGCAGGGCCCTCCCTGACCTGTAATGCTCGGGCTCACTTCTGTTGCCAGCCTTCGGAGCCTGGGAGTGAGGGAGGCACAGCAAGTACCCGCCTTTCAAAGAGCTTCAACGGTGCCAAAGGAGGCAGTGCCAGCAGCAGCACCACAGAGTCTATTTCAACAGAAGACTCCACTCAAAGGTGAGTCAGGTCAGCGTGGCCATAGGCCACCCATATAAGCTTTGATAGAGGGACGAACGGAGACGGCTGGGTAGCTGGTGGTGGGTGGGAGGGGCTGGCCACCCAGACGCGCTCCAGGAGGGATGAGTTGCGCCAACAGCCAGGTCCCTTTCTCACCATCCGGCTGGGCCACCCGGCACTCCGGAGCGAGCGTCCCGCTGCGCGTGGTCCTTTCCCGGCTCCCTGCTCCCGCAGGAGGGCGCGTGGGATGATGCTCTGGTCCCTGTGCTTCCTCGAGCTCCTGCATCCGGAGCCGCCCTAGCCGGCACCGCCGCAGCCGCTGCCTGAGAGGGAGAGAGGAAGAAAGGGAGGGGGGCTGGAAAGGCTCCTCGGAGGGCGGAGGGGAGGTGGGGAGGTACGAAGGGAAGGGGGAGGGAATATCTCCCCTTCGCAGTGCCTCCGCCTTTTCTCCCATCGCAGGAGGCGACGGGGTTTACCCTCCACACCCTCTCCCAGTCCCCGGCCTCCTTCGCCCACCCACCCTCCCTGCCAAACGTGCGGAGAAGCAGCCGCAGCCCCGGCGGCCGGGGGCGCGCGGGGAGGCGGCGGTGGGCGTGTGCGCGTGGGTGAAGGACACCACCTCTCGTTCGCAGGCGGCGGCGAGAGCGGCGGGGCTTCTCGCTCGGGCTGCAGCGGCGACCGCGGCGGCGGCTTCCGGAGTCCTGCCGAGAAGATGCTCAAAGTCACGGTGCCCTCGTGCTCGGCCTCGTCCTGCTCTTCGGTCACCGCCAGCGTGGCCCCGGGGGCCGGGAACCTGGTCCCGGATTACTGGATCGACGGCTCCAACAGGGACGCTCTGAGCGATTTCTTCGAGGTGGAGTCGGAGCTGGGACGGTAAGGCGGGGGGCGGCGGGCTGGGCGCGCGCGGGGCGCCCGGGACCTAGTGGCGCCCGGCGCCCTGCGCGCCGGCTCTGGCTTCTGGGGAAGCCCGCGGCGCGCACTGGGGTTGTCGCTTTGGCAGTGACAGCTCTCGGGGCTGCGGAGCCAGCCTCCCTGCCCTTCGCTTTCCCCGAGTCTGGTGTCTAGGAGAGAACTAAGCACCATTGAAGTGGGAGTCGGGTCTTCCCCTGCGCGCTCAGGCCGGTGCAGCTGCGAGCAGCAGCCTTACTCTCTCCCACACTCCCTCCTCCTCGCCGGCTGCCACTTCCCTTGGGTGACAGCTCCCACTGCACGTGGGCCCTGCTTTTCCCAATTGGTGTTTTTGCTCAGGATTATAGCTTTCCAGAGGGTCTTGTTGGCCCCCCGCGGGGGGGGGGAGCTAGTTATTTTGGGGGTGGCGGAGGAGGGTTCCCCTCCAAATCTTGATAGAATTATTAAATTAGATTCTCCCTCCTTTCTCTCAGCAAGCTCTCCAAAGCAAGCGGCACTAGAAATTAAACTCAAATACTAGCTTTCCTGCAAAGTCTGCTCCTAGTGAAAGGGGGGAATGAATCATTTAAAAGAGTTGATGGGAAAATAATGAACTAGTGCGGCTTTGAAGGAAAAGCAGCACTCGGGGGCCAGGCAGTGGTAATTAGAAGAGTTCTGCTGCTCTTCTCTCCTGTACTGGAGTGATTTATTTAAATACGTATGCCAAAGCCACCTCCCCGGGGTTGCAGAAATGTCCATCATTCCTCCTCCAAAGATCCAAACAGGTAGGAGTTCTGGGTGCCATCTGTTCTTATATTTCTACCCAATGGAAATTACTTTCGCCTTCCTTTCTTTTCTCCCGTTTCTATTATCCATAGCTAAGCAGCGCTCTTTTCACACCCAGTTTAGATCCAGGCCCTTTAGGAAAGGGAGTCTGAAGGTGTCATTTCAACTGCTGACAAGTTGAAACTTCCGTACTTAATGCTTCTTTGCAACTTCATTTTTCATTCTCTTCTTCACTGTGAAGAGCTGAGTTAACAGCTCATTTCTTCTTTATGCCATCAGAGACCACAGTGCAGGATTTGGGGTGCTGGTACTTTGTGGGAAAGTCCAGCGGTCACCCCCTTCCCCCAATTGGTCACTACTATTAATGACTCATGGAATGCAGCGGGTGTATAATAAATGCAGAACTGGATGAAAATTGAGTAGTTTGCCACTGTTTAAAATGTTCCAAATATCTGAACATTGAATAATGTATGTGTCAACCTCCTGATTTTATCAAGTTTTTCAATGTTCGTCTGAAGACCTGCTGCGCGCGCACTCACTAGGAAGGTGAAATGAAATGCCCCTTCCTGTGCTGGAAACCTACTCTGATTGTTTAATGAGCTACCAGTGGAGCGCTGTAAATTTTGGGTTAAAAAATAATCTACTTAAATTTGTTTAGTTGGTGTTTTAGAAACTGCCACCTAGTAGAGGAAGTGCTACAGGGACTGTCCCACCACCAAATCTAACTGCTTTCTTAGTAATGTTTACCCCGAATGCCTCTCATTGGCTCTGGCTTATCATCAGCCTGTTCACCTTCATGAATAAGCTTCGCCATAGGAAACTCAAAAAATTTACTTGATTTGAGGAGTGGGAAGGTGGTTTTAAAAAAATAATAAACTGCCAGTTGTACACATATACGGGATGGTAGACTTCATAGGGAAACCTAAGGAATTTGAAGTTACTTTTTTAAAAAGCTTGGTGTTTTATTTTAGAATACATTTTGGAGGGCACAGTAAATCCATTATATGTTGTTAAGACTCTCACTCTGCTGCCTAGTTGTTTGAATACCTTGACAATCACATAATTAAAATACTTTTAGGAAAACTAAAAATGATTAATTTTGCTGTTTTCCAGCAGTCATGTGTGAGTATCAGGGATTCTCCGTGGACGGCAGTGTTGGTGAGGCGTATGTGTACTCCATTTGGTTGAGTCTTTGGGAAATAGTATCACTTCACAATCAAAGTAATGTTTTCCAACCCCCCCAAAACATAAAGTAACTAGTGTTATGGATATAATTACTGAGAATCTATAGAGCCAGGAATGCAGCACAATTATAATCACAGGTGCTGACTGAGTGACAAAAGTCCCCTTCCTGCACTGGCAATAAAGTTGAAACAACTGGTTTCAAGTCTTGACTCTCTCTACTTTGTTTCGGGCCAAGTCTGCCTGACTCTAAGGCTGAATGAAACATTTAATTCATTAGTAATACAGTCATCATTAAGATGCTGTGAGAACAATGCCCCCGATGTCCTGTGGTGTCAGTGTGGTTGGTTCCAAGGTGTGGACAACCCTTTCCTAGATTAAGTGATTTTGGGAGTAGACCTTATTCTATTATAATTATCTGGTTGTAAGCTAGTGACTCCACAATTCATGACTGGACATGTAACCATTAGGGCAACACACCCGAGGATGTGTTTGGAGATTTGGGGGAGCTACACTCCCAAGGCTCTAAGCATCTGAAGCCCCTGGCTGGTGATGGCAGCCATGGTCTCCATGTAGCCATGTAGACCAGGGCAGATCGGATAACTTTCTCCCACCCCCCACCCCTGCAGGATTGGGGGACAGATGGATAAGGGTGAGAGTGATGAGAATTATTTTAGAGTATTAGGCCAACTGATTAAGTTTTTCAAAACTGATATTTGAAAATATTGCTTTATCTATAGAGTTTGTCAAAAAGTCTACAAAAATTACAATACATCCACAAATTCAATTCTACTTAAAAATACGAGCTGGCCAAGATTCTATCCAGGGCCCCATATCCTAGAGAGCCATTGGTCCTTTGCCCAGTGATTTGAGAAATTGGCGTTTTCATGGCTTTGCCAAGGGAGAAGGGAGCCTGGTCTGGAGCCTGTGGTCTGGCACCAGGAGGGCAGAGCCGGACCTGCCCGGCTCTGCGATGGGGATTTGGCCCTTTGCATCCAAACCCGTGCCTTGTTTTCAGTTCTTTCCTGCCTTTTGTTCCAGTCTGTCATGTAAAATTAAGAAAAAATGTTTGTAATAAAACTAGATGTATTCACATACATACACACGAGTTCAAGGAAACCAAAACATATATAATTAGAACAAAAGAAATGTCAAATTATTGTGGAATCAATGTCTAAAAAAATATCCATTCCACTTTAACTATTGTTTCTTTAGGCTAGTGACTTTAAATCCCTGCCTCCCCACAACCTGATCTGCAACTAAGAAAAATACATTTATGGCAAACCCAGCTGAGGCATAATCATATAGGACCCCTTGCTGTGCATATTGTTGCTTAGGAACCAAATAGATTTACACAGGGAGACATAGGTGTGCATCCAATGGAAACAAGTTTCATAAAATGAAGTTACCGTTACCAACAATGTACTCTAATATTTCCTATTTTAAGCTACTTGATTTTACCCTGTTTCGTTAAAAACGTATCAGTCAAATCCTTGTGATTTCACACCCCACTAATGGGTGGGTGACTCAGTTGGAAAAGTGCTGTTTTAGGTCTTCAGTCAGCGCAGGCCACGTTAAAGCCTGGGGCCGAGTCCTTTGGAAAAACGTCCTGCAGATCATTCAGTGACACAGTGTCTTCGTTTCCATAGCTCTGTACAGAAAAGTTCTCCTAGCTTTGCCTCCAACTTATTTTTAGGTTCATCCTCTCAAACATTTTAAAAAAACTCTGCTGTCTCCCCAAGATCTGCTGGGTGCGCTGCACTGCGGGAGGGGGGCTGAGGGGCCGGGGCTGGGTGGGGGCACCTTCACTGCAGAGGGGGGAGTCCCAGAGTCTGAGCAGTGTTGTGTCCCACCTGGTGACACACAACTCTGGCCCCTGGTGATGGCCAGGAAATGCTTCCTGTAAGGGAACATGAAACGTGTGCATTTGCCAACAGAGGGGCTCCAACCAGTGCTCCTGGCTGGAGAGGAATCAGCCTCTCTTTTCCCTTTTCCTTTTTCTCTTCGCTAGGCCTCCTCATGCCCTTGGTCGTCCCCCCAACACTGTCTTCTAGGGCCTCACAGCCTATCCTGGGTACGGGTCTCCCACCACCCACACTGCGTTTAGTATCTAAGCACTTTGGGGCATGGCATGCTTTTCTTTTTGTCTCACTGGGAATTAAAAAATATAAATGTTCAGTCCTGCTCTTCTTTGCTGTGCACCCAGTTCTTTTCTTAGGCTGTTGACTCAGGAGCAAGGTGGGATTGCAAGTGGGAGACTGGGAACTGGGGCTGCACTGGCTCTTTGCAGGAACACTGACTGGAGGCGGACTGGAAGGCAGGCTGTGAATTTAGCTTGTTCATTCTTGCACGCTCCTCCCCTAGCACAGCGCTGTGCTCAGCGGGTGCTCAGTAGATGATCTAGAGAGTGAATGAATGATATAACCAAATGGACCACGCACAGTAGGCACGCTTCTGTCCTCTCCTTTGACAGGTGGTCTCTGTTGGTCCTGATGTGATGATCTCAGTCCCAGGGACCTCACAGAAAGAGAAATCCTGTGACCTGTTCATTCCGTCCCTAAAACTTGTGGGGCCATGACCCTAACTTCATCCAGCAGTTGGTTTCCTTTCTTCACAGTGAAGGTATCGGTAACCGCCACGTCTGTAGCTTTCAGGTGTGGAAAATAACGCTGCCTTTCTGTTGGCGGAGTGCTTTGTATCTCTGAAATGAAAGGGATTCACCTTTACTGTCGTTTTACCACAGGCATGCCAGAATTAGGAGTTAAATCAACTTGAACTTAAAAGGCATGAAATGCCTCTCGGCTATACTAACAACTCAAGTTCATACATGTTATTCACTGCTAAATTTGGAAATACGCTCATTGTAAAGAGCCTCAACATCAAGTGAACACTGTGATAGAATTAGTACTTGAAGAGCAGACTATGTTATCATATTTAGATACTGTTGCAAAGGTAAAAATAACTACTAATTTAAAAAAAAGACACAGGTGCCATCTGCTTCTAAACAGTTCTGAAGA